GGAAAAAAAAAAAAAAAAAAAAGATGTATTTGTAGACTTGTAGGTAAGGGACTATATGTAAGAGACTATATCATAGTCTGTTTACACAGATTGAGTCTCTTGGGTATTAAAGAGCTTTTTTTTTTCTTTGGAGTGTATTGGAAATTGAACCCAAGGGTATTGTGTCTTTTGGGATAGGATCTCATTACATAGGCTGGCCTGGAACTTGCAATCCTCCTGCCTCAGCCTCCTAACTAGCTGGGATTACAGGTGTATGCCATCACACCAGGTTTTATTTATTTATTTATTTATTTTTGAGACAGGGTCTTACTATGTAGTCAAGACTGACCTAGAACTCACTATGTAGCCCAGGCTGGTCTTGAACTCACAGCGATGCTCCTGCCTTAGCCTCCCGACTGCTGGGATTACAGGCATGTGCCACCACGCCCGGCCACCAGGTTTAATTGATGTTCTTATGAGTTTCTTTGTTGAGAATTCTTATAGTGAGAAGGATTTGGATTTCTTTTTATTCATTCTTTCACCTTGGTTGGTAGTTGATTAGAAATATTTTCTCATTTGTGTATTGTGTTAAAGAATCTAGTAGTGATTTAACTGCAGCTTATGGAATTATCTATGTTTTACAGATCCGTATCTGGAAGCAGCAGGCTAGACCTGGAAATGGACCCGTGATCTGGGTAAGATGGCCATTCCTTGAGCATCCCAGCTAGGAATGCCTAACTGGAGGTGGTAAATGGAGATTAGAGACAAGACCCAGAGATAATTTTGGAAGAGGGGCCAGTGGGCTCTTGCCTCTAGTGGACAGAGAGCCCTGAGGGTCTGGCTTGCCTTACCTTTATTCACCTTTAGGGAGCAAGCAGTTAGGTTAATGGAAAATTCATCTGTTTATCATTATTTGTAAAATGTACCCAGGTAAGCATACTCTGAATGAGATCTCAGCTATTGTTGACGTCTGTGAAATTTGCTGACGTATTGCCAAAGGAGGATCAGCTTGCTGTACCCTCTTTTGTGTCTACAAGGAAAGGGCAACTGGGCCTCAGCCCAGACGTCTAGTTTCCCACAGTTTCTTGTGACCCCTGAGGGGTATGTATGCTCTGGTAAAGCAAAATTGATAGGGACAGAGAGAAAGGCTACGGGCATTATTAGTAAATGGATTGTTTGAGAGTAGATGTTATTTGGTCTAAGATAGGACTGCTGGGATATTTTCTTTTCTATTAACTTTTTGTTTTTTGCAATACTGGAGATTGGGAAATTGAACCCAGGGCCTACACTTCCAGCCATTTTTTAGTTTTTTATTTTGATGTCTTGGAAAATTGTGGCTCAAATCTGCAGTCCTCCTGTCTCAGTCTCCCAGAGTACCAGGATTACAGTTGTTTGCCACTATACCCTGCTTTTTTAGGTTTTTGTTTTGGGATTTGTTGTAGTCAGCAGGATTTGGCAAGGGAATACATTAAATACAGGACACATAATTTCTAAGATTATTATATGATAATTACCCAAAATGTCAAATGCAAAGGAGTGCAAGAGATTAACCATACACTAGAAGCCCGCAGGATTCACCTGAGGGCCTGGATCCCAGCAGTTTCCCACACAAGTCCAGCAAAAGGCTTACAAGTCCAAGGCAGTGGCCTAGATCTCACAGCAATGTCTCATGCTTGTCCGTATTGATGATCTGCACCTGGAAGGCCCAAAGGTCAGTGGTGGAAACCAGAAAATCTATGCTCATGCGTTGAAGGATCTATGCCACCAAGCTGAGGGATCCACATTGGAGCCAGGAAGTGACACTCATGGTAAAGGTCAGAGATCCCCTGATGAAAGCAGCATCCATTCCCAGAGACAGTGAGGTCCTGAACTCCTCCAGTGAGAACAGCTGAATTCCATCAGGAAAACCATGTGCAGCAAATTTCTCCTAGAAAATCAACAGGCCGAGATCTCCCCTCCAGGTCTCTCTTTATGGGTGTTGGTAACAATCTTCAGGTGGATCCTCCACTCTCAGATCATGTTGATTCAGTTCAGCTGGGCGTTACAAGTTGCCCGTCAGTCAATCCTCTACAGGATTATTACAGGAATAATTTTACTTTATTTTTTCAGTACGAGAGATCGAACTGAGAACCTTGCACTTTCGAGGCAGGTGCAGTACCACTGAACTAAATCCCCAGGAATGGTTATAAATGGCCAATGTTGGAGACATATTTGTACTCTTCAAGACTTATTTATTTTTGTTTTTTGAGACAGGGTATTGCTGTGTAGTCAGGATGGCGTAGAACTCACTATGTAGCCCAGGCTGGCCTTGAACTCATGGTGATTCTCCTGCCTCAGCCTCTTGAGGGCCAGGATTACAGATTTGTGCCACCACCCCCAGCTTTCATTAATTAGCCTGTGTTTATGCAGTACCTTTTATATGCTATACACAAAACAGACTACAGCCCTGGCTGTATACTATTCTTGCTTCCTCTGTCAGCATCTGCTCTAACATCGAGCCACAGCCCAGCCTGTTAGGACCTGGGGGAGTGTTGAAGTCCCAGTTCTCCTCCTAGTCAGCTGTATGGCTGGACAGGTTATATGGCCTGTCTCTTCAGTGTCCCCTAGGTTGTGAGGCTTAGATGAGGTGACGTAGAGGAAGCTTAAGAGTGTTGGCATCTGGTTCTCAGGAAGGCGAGCCATACAGACTGCTCCCTTGCGGACCCACTTGCTGACTTCTGGGTGTGGTCTTGCTCTGTTGGGTTGCAGGGAAGGGTCTAGCTCAGGGCAGCGTAGAGGGATTCTATATATAGATCACCCCACACCAACAGAGGCCACCCTGCCCCCGTGCTGTGCTGCTGAAGGAGGTGGGTGGGCCTTGTTGAGTGGGAAGAGACACAGCCCTAAGGAACAGGTCCCCCTCCAGGTGGGCTTTACTCTCCAGCCCAGACAATCCTCTCTGGGCAGCTAAGCCATCACAGAGCCCCTCAGGGAGTGAGGCCACAGCTCTGTGACTCTGTACAGGTACTCGGAAGGCCCACTTTCCCTTACGTCCAGACATGTGCAATGGAGGACTATTGGCCAGACTTAACTGGAAGGCTGTGGGGAGCCATTGCTGGTACCTTTTCACAAGTTGTATCTTTTTCCTGGAAAGTTCTCCCTTTAGGCAAGCGTCAGCCATTCCATTCCTTCTGTGCGGTGGTCTCATTGGCAGGGCGCCCCATCCCCCCTTTTCCTTCTTTTTTTAATTTTTTTTTGGCGCCAGGACTCAAACGTGGGTCCCTGCACTTGCAAAGCAGGCGCCAGAACCACTGAGCTAAATCCCTGGCCCTCCCTGTGTTTCTTGATTGGATTTTGAAAAGGCTTAGCATTTACACACTATTCCCAATATTCTGTGAGGTAGACACCTAGTGATCTACTCTTGTCGGAAGAGGAAACTGAGGCTGGGAGGTGGAGGGTCTGGGCTTTGAGCCAGGCTGTGACCTGCCCTAACCTACATGTCCTCCTGTCTTCTGTCTTTCCATACTGAGCCTCCCTGCCTGCTCTGCTGGCTTCCCGAGGGAACAGACTTGCCCTTTTCATTTTCTTATCTACACTTTAGCAGTATAGTCTTCCTAGAACAGTATGGAAGATATACTTGAGAAAAACAGTTGAAGGAGCCAAGAGAGAAACAGACTGGGTAAAGCAGAGATTTTAGGTCCTGTGAAGATTGAGAGGGATTCATGAGGAGAAAACCTTTGAGCTGGAGCTTGTGTGGTCAGGAGAGGTGGAGAAAGTGGTCGTGGCAAGGGGAAATGGATAGCAGGAGTAAGCCAGGCAGAAGGGAGTGGGGACCTTTAGTTTATCTGGAGTGCAGGACGCATTAACAGGGGAGTGGGGCACACGTCCATTTCCGGGGGTGTTTCTGCTTTACTAGAATGGAGTTGGAAATGAAGGAAGCACTGGGGTCTGGTAGCATTTCTGGTCTCAGTTGTCTCTCTCACCCCACGGGAGCTTTGCAGCGCTCAAATGGAATAATGGAGAATGTGCTTGGCAAACTCAGAGTACAGCGCTGTGGGAATGGAAGGTGGCCCACCTGAGGTTAGACTGGGCATTTGATGTGTTGTTCTCAGTGGCGAGCATTTTTCTTTGGAGGAGCTGAAGCACCAGCCTGCACTCGGATTCCTTATGATCCTGGAATCCTTTCGGCCCTCTGCTGGTGTTGACAGTGGCTTCTGCCTGGGAGTGAAAGAGTGACATCTGCAGTGTGATCTCAGTACCAGAGCTGTCTTATCCTTTTCCCTTCATGGCTTCAGGTTTTTCTTTCTTTTAAAGGTAGTACAAAGCTGGAAATTAGTTGGGCATGGTGCTGTACACCTGTAATCCCAGTGTTATGGAAGGAATTGGCAAGTGACACAGAGGCAGCAGAATGGAAGTAAAATTTAAAAAGTTTACTCCATCGGTGGGAATCAATGACACCTAACAGTGGCCCTGATCAGTCCCCCACTGGGTTACAACTCCTTTTATAGGGTTTTGCACCCTTGATCTTATTCAGTTGGTTACATTGCATTTTCACAGTTCACATACATACCTAGAACAGGTTGGTGAGGCAGTTGAATTTCAACCCTGATGCCGTTCTTTGTTACCTTTAAGATTTATTCAGTTACCTATTCTAGACAGGGGAAGGCAGTGTGTTTGGTGTACCAAAATAATGGTTTTTTTCCACTTACAAAACTTGAGGGAGACTAGATGCCTCTAGTGCGGGTTAATTCTGAATTAAACATAGTGAAGGGCAGAAGTTATCTTACATTGTGACATTTCCTAAGTTTTTGCTATCAAACTTTTCCCTCTCACCAGTACTCTGGGAGGCTAACGCATGAGGATCACAAGTTTGAGCCTAGCCTGGGCAACTTAGTGTGACCCTGTCTCAAAATAAAAAATAAAAACCAGGCTGGGAATGTAGCCCAGTGTAAAGGGCCTGAGTTCAATCCCCAGTACTGCACCCCCCAAAAAAGTGTGTGTTGTACTATTATACACACATCTTCTGCAAGTCACTTTTTTCTGTGTAGCTGTATAACATGGATATTTTCCACATAAATTTGTCTCTTTGTCTCTTTCTTTCTGTTTGTCTTAGTTATTTTTCTTGTTGCTGAAACAAAATACCCAATACCCAAAGTTAATGTAGGAAAAGTTTATTGTAGCTCATAGTTTGTAGAGGTTTTAGTTCATAGTTGGTTGGCTCCAAGGCAGGGTGGCACGGCAGAGGGGCATCACAGAGGAGAAACAGTTTATGGCAGCAAACAGTTTATAGTGAAGCAACCCGCCTCCCCATCCTATCCTTTCCAGGCTGCCTGCTCTTTGGATGGTGCCACCCACCCAGGCTGAGCCTTTCCATTATCCACGTGCAGAACTATGTCAAACCAATTGTGGATCCATTCAGTAATCACACACCCTTGATCTCAGCATTACACACCCGAGATCCAGCCACTTCTGAAAAGCCCCACCTATGACTGCATGAGCTTTTGGGGCACATCTAGACACAAGCCATTGCACGTATTTTCTTTTTCATATTTTTGAGACAGAGTCTTGCTATGTAGTTCAGACTGACCTCGAACTCATTATGTTTAAGGCTGGCCTTAAATTTGTGGCGATCCTTCTGCCTCAGTCTCCCATGTGCTAGGATTATAGGCAAGTGGTACCATGCCCAGCTCTTTCTTTCTTTGGTAACAGTCTTCCTATATACAAGTGGTGATTAAAAGATATGTTGAATGTTTAAATTAAAAAGAATTACAATGAAAACATTGCCAAGAACTATGGGACAAGTATGTTCAAAGTGAGGGGTAATATTTTGAAGGTGATTAAAGCCTATATGTCTTTTCCTGTAATAAAGGTATTAAACATTCACTATACTTTTTGATCTATCTTGCTGATCAGCTGTTTGCAGCAGTTTTTGTCAAACAAAATCACGGTGTGTCTTTATCTGTCTTATCACTGGATTTGGCACCATGCTTCTTCTGACTCAAAGTCATAATGGCCATGAAGGTAAATGTTTTGAATCCATTCAGGACATGAGGCAGCCATTAGGATGCAACTAAAGACGCTCAGGAAAGAGGACTTTCCAAACTGCTTTGGAGTGTGTCACGAATGATGGGATCTGTGTGTTTGAAGGAAGGGGCGGTATGTAAGGGGGAGCCGGGCGTGGTGGCGCACGCCTGTATTCTCAGCACTTGGGAGGCTGAGGCAGGAGGATCTCTGTGAGTTGAAAACCAGCCTGGGCTACATAGTGAGTTCCAGGTCAGTCTCAACCACATAGTGAGACCTGTCTCAAAAAACAAACAAACAAACAAACAAACAAAAAAGTTTGTGAGGGGGATTAATGGCAATGTGTCTTTTACTGTGATAAGTTAAAAAATGTGTAAACATTTACTATATTTTTTGATCATGCCTTTTAGCAGATGATCTTGAACTGTGTAGCCCAGGCTGGCGTGGAAGTTGTGGCCCTCCTGCCTTAGCCTCCTGAGTACTAGGATTGCATGCATCTGCCACTATACCCAGCTTACATACTTCTTTTGGTGGCTGCTTAATAGTCTATTGTATGACTGTATCATAGTTTATTAACCATTCCTCTCAGTGGATTTTGTGTTGTTTTAGAGTTTCTACTATCATAAACAATGCTGGAGAGATTCTTCACATATATGTTATATATAATACATGTTATATATACAGTACACCTTTACTTGCTTATGACCATTTTTCTGTATGATAGTTTTCTCGAAGTAGAATTGTTGAGTCAGTTTGTTTAACCATATCCCTGTCACTGGACATTTTTTCTGGTTTCAGGGTTTTGTGCTCATTTTATTTTCTTTTGCTATGATAAGGTGGGCTGTGTTATAATTGTATTGTCTGTTTTTGGGATCATACACATGCGCTGATACTGGCACCTTGGAGTTCATCATCCTAGAGCAACTTTGTTAACTTCAGCTGTTTTCACTTCCAGGATTACCATGTTGTTTTGCTTCATGTTTCAAGTGGAGGACAGAGCTTCATTTATGATCTCGATACTGTGCTGCCATTTCCCTGCCCCTTTGACACATATGTCGAAGATGCCTTTAAGTCTGATGATGACAATCATCCACAGTTTAGGAGGTGAGGAAATTCAGGATGAATTTATCAGTGGGCACACAGAGGTTCCTCCTTTTCACATTGAATTTGTAAGCACTACTTAATTTGGGTATAGCCCTGAGTTGATTTTTGAGAATGATGCAATGGGAGATTGAAATACATTAAATCTACAGAGCTTATCCACCGTACAAAAGGTTGGCAGTTGTTTAGAAATTTGTGTGATAAATCTTTCAGGCATTTGGGAATTTCTCATACTCTTGTTTGGGGAGACGGGGATGCCTCATGCAGCCAAAATTGAGAAAGTTGCAAAGGCAACACTAGAAAATCCTGCTTTTTGTCCCTGATGTGCAATTGAGTAAATAAAGGCAACTAGACAGATGTACTTAAGTACCTTTGCAGCTGTGCACAGCATTTCCTGTGGCTTTTTTAATGGGTGCAAAGCTGTGTATTTCTGTACTGCTAAAGTAAAAAAACATGCATGAGTAGCTTTGTGTATGCCATGGAAAATGAGTCCTGTAAAAACTGAGTTAGAATTTCAAATGTGACACCTCCCTAATGTGCCATGTTCTGATTTATTTACAGGAAATTTAGAGTGATCCGTGCTGATTGCTACTTGAAGAACTTTGCTTCTGACCGGTCTCACATGAAAGACTCCAGTGGGAACTGGCGGGAACCTCCCCCACCTTATCCCTGCATCAAAACTGGAGGTGAGTCGGGAGGCTGCTCGGGGGTTTCTGATTCATCACTGCAGGTCGGCTGTCCCCTAAGCAAGGACAGTTAGGTCTTTGTCTGGCTGAAACTGAGCAGCGAGGAAGTACTAGATCTGTGTGTTTCTTAGATTCAGAAATGAGGCACAAGGAACAAGACGGGGAGGCATGAGAACTCTTGGGGAGGAGAGGTGTTAAGAGCAAAACCATAGCCCTCGCAGTCTGCAGGACTACTGGTGTGCCTGTTGCTTGGCCCTGGGCATCAGAAGATCTGCACACCTGTCATTTTCAGTGTGATTAGCATTTTGCCATGGAGGGGCTTCATCTTACGGAGAAGGAAATCCCCAGTTCATCCCTCTGATGTGTGAAATGCCATTTCATTGTGTTTGTAATAAGACCTACATTAGAGGGAGGTGAGAGCTTGCAGGTTCTACAGACCACTTGCTTCATTTATGTGTTTCTAGGCAGCAGTCCAATTGATAATTTCCTGAGGTGTGAGAGATAGAGGTTCATTCACCCCATTACTGTCGTCTGCCACTCATGTGTTTGGAACCTTGTTAGTGATTACAAGTCTTTCACAACATTCCCACTATGGGCAAGCTCATCCAGCACCTGGCTAATGCAGCCTGTATGGAATTGCAGGAGAGCAGTGGTGATGAACCATTCAGAGCTCCCAGCGATACAGACAGCCTGCTGCAGCACATGTCCCATCGGTTTACCACCACTGCTCTAGAGGCTGTTGCAGGATGCCAGCGAAATGGGGACAACAGGATTGATTAATAGTTTAGTTTACTATTTTTTATTTTTGGTTTTTTAAGATCATCATTCTTTTTTTTTTTTTAGTTGAGTTTATTGGTACATTTTAGGGATACAGTACAGTTACATTCATTGTTGGGATCTTGTACCTCTACATGACAGGTCTTGGTTCTCATTTTTCCCCCTTTCCCTGCCCTCCCTTCACCCCCTCCTCCTCTCCCCATTTCCAACCACTTTGTTTCCATCTTTTCATTTTCTCACATTTTTTTCTTTTCCCTTATTACCCTTCCCCTACCCATCCCACCTTCCCTACACCTTTAGACCTTTTCTTCCCATTTCACAATGTCAGTTATCTTATTAGGATCTTATGTACTATTACAGTTTATTCACACCAGAGAAACTATATGGTATTTACACGTGTGACTTATTTATTTCACTTAGGAGTATATCCTCAATGTGTATCCATTTTCCTATGAATGAATCTAATTTCTCGTTCTTTATGGCCGAGTAATATTCCATTTTATAGAAAAACCACATCTTCTTTATCCAGTTTCCAACTGATGGGCAAATGGGCTGTTTCCAAGTTTTAGCTATTACAAACTGTGCTGCTATAAACATGGTTGCACATATATCACTGTGGTATGATTCTTTTAGTTCTTTTGGGAAGATACCCAGCAGAGGGATGGCTGGGTCAAATGGAACCTCTAATCCTAGTTCTTTGAGGTATCTCCATACTGACTTCCATAGTGGTTGCACCAGTCTGCACTCCTACCAACAATGGAGAAGGGTTCCTTTCTCCCCACAACCACGCCAACATTTGTTATTGTGCAATAGCAGCCATTCTTTGTGAGGTGAGGTGGAATCTCAGTGTTGTTTTCATCTGCATCTCTTGAATGACCAGTGATGTGGAGCATTTTTTCATATATTTACTTGCTGCTTTTATTTCTTTGTCTGAGAAATGTCTGTTCATTTCAGATGCCCATTTTTGAATCGGGTCTTTATATTTGGGAGGAGCTGATTGTTTTGAGTTCTATATATTCTAGATAATAATCCTTTGAGGAGCAGCTGGTAAAAATTTTTTCCCACATTGTAGGTTGTCTCTTAGTTCTGTTGATGGTTTCTTTGCAGTGCAGATGCTTTTTAATAAGATGAGATCCCACTGGTTGATTCTTTCTGCTAGTTCCCGTGCTACTGAGGATTTATTCATAAAATCTTTTCCTATGCCAATGTCTTCCAGAGTTCTGCCTAACTTATCTTCCAGTAAGTTTAGTATTTCTGTTTTAATATTTAGATCTTTAATCCACTTGGATTTTAATTTAGTGCATGGTGAAAGATAAGGGTCCAATTTTAATCTTTGGCAGGTTGAGATCCAGTTTTTCCAACACCATTTATTGAAGAAGCTATCTTTCCTCCACTGAGGATGCTCAGCTCCTTTGTTAAAAATGAGGTAGCTGAGTACATCTGGAATTGTTTTTGTGTCTTCCAATCTGTTCCACTGATCCTCAGGTCTGTTTCTTTGGCAGTACCATGCTGTTATGTTCCTCTCAATAGATGCAGAAAAAGCATTTGACAAAATTCAACACCCATTCATGATAAAAACCCTGCAAACAAAATGTAATATAGTCTCTATCTCAACTTAATGAAGGCTATCTATGAAAAACCAACAGCTAACATCATATTAAATGGCCAAAAACTGAAAGTTTCATGTTAAAATCAGGAAGAAGATAAGGATGACCACTATCAGCACTCCTCTTCGATATAGTTCTGGAAACATTAGCCACAGCAATTAGACAAGAGAAATAAATTAAAGCAGTAAAGATAAGAAAGGAAGAAGTTAAACTGTCATTATTTGCTGACGATATGATACTCTACATTGAAGACCCAAAAAACTCTACCAGAAGACTTCTAGATTTAATTGACAGATTCAGTGGAATACCTGGATACAAGGTGAACACCCAAAAATCAATAGCGTTCTTGTACACAAATAACAGACTCACTGAGAGAGAAATTAGGGAAACCCCTTCACAATAGCATCCAAAAAAATGAAGTATCTAGGAATCAATCTAAGAAAAGAAGCAAAAGACTTCTACACTGAAAACTACAGCACTCTGAAAAAGATCGAGGAGGTTATAAGAAAATGGAAAGATGTCCCCTGCTCCTGGGTAGGAAGAATCAACATAGTGAAAATGGCCATACTACCGAAACTGCTATACATATTCAATGCAATGCCAATTGAAATTCCAACACTATATTTCACAGAACTAGAAAAAAGAATCCAAAAGTTCATTTGGAACCATAAGAGACCTAGAATAGCAAAAGCTATCCTAGGCAACAGACACATGGCAGCAGGTATAACAACTCCCAATTTGTTTTTTTTTTTTCTTTTTATTGAGTTTATTGGTACAATCTAGGTATACAATACAGTTACATTCATCATTGGGATCCTGTACCTTTACATAATAGGTCTTGATTCTCACTTTTTCCCCTTGTCCCTGCCCTCCCTTCACCCCCTCCTTCCCTCCCCATTTACAAACACTTTATTTCCATTTTTTCAGTTTCTCACATTATTTCCCTCTCCCTTAGTACCTTTCCCCCACCCCACCCTTCCCACTTTCCCTACACCTTTAGCCCTTTACTTCCTATTTCACATTATTAATTATCTCATTAGGATCCTGTGTACTATTATAATTTTTCACACCAGAGAAACTATTTGGTATTTCAGTTAAAGAAATCTCTGTATGAACATTA